CTGAAATATTGATGACGCTGTTGATGTTATAAAATCATACGGTAATAAAACATTAGCTTGCAAGTCTGACGTCCGCTCGGCTTTAAGATTACTCCGATCTCGCCGATTGACTTTGATCTTCTTGGTTTCAAAATTAATCAAGAATTTTATTTTGATAAAATCCTCCCATTTGAAGCTTCAATTAGCTGTGCTTTATTTTTGTTTGCCTCATTTCTCCACTGAGCTGTTTCTGTAAGACAATCTGAGGGCGTCATTGTACCCTACCTTGACAACTTTTTATTTTTTGTGAAGGGGCGGAACCAGTCAATGTCATGACCTGCTTCATACTTTCAAGGTTATTTGAAATGATCTGGGAGTTCCATTAGCGAACGAGAAAACCATCTCTCCCACGACACGGCTTACAATCTTGGGTGTAGAAATTGACACCTCCGACATCACTCTCCGCTTACCTTCAGATAAGCTTGATGAATTACTTCAGACAATTTTATTTGTTTTAAAAAACAAGAAGGTCACGCTAAGGGAAATGCAATCCCTTCTGGGTTCACTAAACTTTGCGTGTCGTGTTTTCGCGCCGGGGAGAGCTTTTTGCAGAAGATTGATTGATTTGACGATTCGTTTGAATAAACCATAGTACAGAAACGAATAACTTCGAACATTTAAGCTGATCCTTTGATGTGGAAATCGTTCTTGGAAAATTTCAACGGTCTAACTCTTATGCCAGATAGATTATGGACCTTTAACGAAGCGCTCGAATTTAACACAGACAGTGCCGGGGGGGTCCACACTTGGTTTCGGCATATATTTTAAGGGCAGATGGGCTCACCGGTTATGACCAAGAACGTGGCATAAGCGCGGTTTATTGTCTAACATTACATTTTTTGGAACTTTTCCCAGTTATTGTATCTATCATTCTGTTGGGGTCTGAACTTAGGAATAAAAAGGTGTTTCGTATTGATAACGAAGGAGCGGTGCACATTCTTAACAAGAAAACATCAAAATCGTCGGATGTCATAAGTCAGACGTTTAGTTCTAGAAACATTATAATAACATATTAATTAAATCAGATCACGTCCCAGGTAAGGTCAACATTATAGCTGATGCTATTTCTCGATGCCAGTAGTCCCGCTTCCGAAACCTAACACCAAATGCATCTCTGACACCAACTCCATTTCCGAACCAAGTATGGATTCTATAAAACAGGAATCAGCTAGACTCTTTTCCAATTCGTTCGCCGGAAATATAAATGGAAAAAATATTCAAGGTGTCAGACCACCAATTAAATATCCCTATCTTTTCAACCAAATTTTGAAATTTTTACAGCTTTCTAAATGTTTTACCTTAAGTTTAATTTCATAGAAACTAGGTATATCCTGAATTGTACATGTATCAGCTTTCTACATGCCAATTTTCAACATACATTTAAAGCCCTCTGAGAAAAAAACTGACCTTCAAAAAGAGGTACTCCAAAAATAACCTCTGGTTTTCTGGAAATCTTAAATTAGTATACTATGGAGCGCATTAATCCTCAATTTTTAATGCAACCTCATAGACAAATAAATTTTGGCTCAAAATGGTCTAAAAATATTTCTCTTTCACCAAAAGTTTCATTTCTGCAAATTTGTTGGTTAGTTTAAGTAAACAAGGACACCAAAAGCACTATTTTGTGTCAGAGTAGGGCTACTTTTACATACGTTCTAAATTAGAGGGAGTAATTGGTGGTCTGACACGTAAAGAGCTAGATCGGTTCTCGCTTCATTCCAACTTCTATATACACTGGAAGAAGTATGGCCAGTTCCTGTCGAACAGTTAGTACAATTCATCGCTTATTTATCTTTGCAGCATTTATCTCCAGCTACAGCTCAATTATATATAAGTGGCATTTCCTTTTCTCACAAGGCACGTAATTTAGAGGATACTACTAAGAATTTGGTTGTACCGAAAATGCTTGAAGGTTTACACAGAAATATCCCACAGAGATACAATAGGGTCCCGATATCATTATTATTACTGCGACAGATTACAGACGCTGTCCCTAGTATTTGTACATCTACTTACGAATCTTTATTATTTAAATCTCCATTTTTCGCTATGTTACGTGTAAGTGAGTTTACAACAAAAACTAAATCTGATTCTAGTACCGAAGCACTGCAGTTGAAGGATGTGGTCTTGTCAGATCGTCAACTAAAAATCAACATTAAGAAAAGTAAAACGGATCAGAGAGGACATCCAACGTTCATCGTGATAAGTAAATACAGAGATAACGCGAGCATTTGCACTGTATTAACCTTGAAGAAATATTTATCTGCACGTCCTACGGATTAAGGTCGTAATCAGTTATTTATGCATTTTGACGGGTCACCGCTAACACGTTATCAACTGTCAGCTATGCTAAGGAAGTTGGTAAATGTTTGTTACAATTTTTGTAACCCTAACCTTTTGAAATCGCATTTTTTTAGAATTGGAGCCTCCACATAGGCGAGAAATCGTGGTGTAAATGACGAAGCTATTAAAAAGTGGGGAAGATGGTCGTCAGGTGCATTTGAGCGCTACATCAGATTTCCTTGGTAGAAATAATTTCAATTTTCAATTTTCTTTAATTGTACATATAGAACAGAAGTAAACTTATACTAACAACATTATAGCAAAATCCTTAAGATAGTTTTTGGTTTGTAGGTCATGAGGCGCAGTCAACATGGTCAGCTGTGTGGATAATGGGATCGTCTATTCCCAATTAGGCTGATGTAACAGCTACTTGCCGATCTGTTGGGAAAAATCTTAATGTGGATAGACTAGGAGTACAAATTAAATGGATAACAAAATCAGGAATGAAATAGAAAGATCTGGATTCATCTTTTGAAAGTGAAATAAAAAAGTAGCCAGCCCCTAATTATATCTTTATACATCTAGGTGCAAATGATTTGGGAAGTCAAAAGAAATAATCGAGAACATCAAATGCTCATTTTTTTATAATAAATGTTTTCGCACCTGACATTAAAATCATATGGTCAGATATCTTACCATGGCCCTATTGGCATGGAACATTAGGGCCAAAGTTAGTTGAAATAGCCAGAAAAGGAGTAAACTGTGCTGTAAGATTGTTTATGAAGAAAAAAAGGTCAATACATTTTAAGGTATCCAGCTATCAAAGCCTCTAAGTCTAATTTATTCAGACATGACGGCACACACCTGTCACAAGTTGGTATTGGTATCTTCTTGAATAACATTCAGGCAGCTATTGAAACTTTCGTACTCGGTGTTGCGAAGGTTTTCCCACCAGATAAATGAGCGCAGAGAATGTTTGACGGTTCAGGGAGACAATAAACGGACTTATAACTGTCCCTCTCTGGCACATATCTCTACCCTACCGGCTCTATAGTGGAGGGTATTAAAAAATTTCCTAGGGCTCACTTTTGTCATCGAGAGGAATCCCCTCCACTTCTGGTATCAGAAGGGAGGTGTCATCTCCGCAGTACAGTAATTCAGGTTGTTTGCATATAAAAAATCGGAGAGACTGTTGTTTTGCAGAGGTTTGTGTAATGAAAGGGGGTTCTCCGTCCAGTCCACTCTTGCACGTAGCAGGGATATTTTGACACTTATGTTATCATAGGGTCCCCGATATGCTCTTTTCAATCCTTTGACTATTGGGTTGTTTGTCTCTCTGGAACTGGTAAAACATGTTATCTGCGGCCTATCAAATATCCACACATACGTATTTCTTCAAAATTCTAGAGTCTATCCTAAATTGAGGTAAATTATATGGCCTTCCAAATACCGTTTCGATTCCTAACATCACTGAAGAGACATTAATTGTCGAAATTCGGATATGGTGTACTAACTTTTGCACCTTTTATTTGCGGTATACCATCTTTTCCGCAAGTTTATTGTTAACAGTTAAGATCCATTTTGTTACATCTGGTGATCCGTTTTGTTGGCAATCGCCAATGGCAGTCAGCAGGGTTTAAGAACATCCGTTGTTCGACCTGCTAGTCAAATGCGTTTTGTTAAAATATACTTTTTCACTTTTTTTGTCTTTTTGGAAAATGTTGTTTGTGCTGTATTTAGACCCCTCTACCAAGAAATTTGTTTTGCATGAACACGTATAAAAACTGCGGTTTTTATCCAACGCAATCATAGGTTTGAAAGTTGTTTTCAATTTAGACTTGTTAATATTTTTTCGTTTGGGCTTGTATTATATTTGCCTTCGGGTTTATATGATCCGTTCATCCTATTTCGACTCTTCAAAAGTCAAGAGTCTATCCTAAATTGAGGTAAATTATATGGCCTTCCAAATACCATTTCGATTCTAACATCACTGAGGAGACATTAATTGTCGAAATCCGGATATGGCGTATTAATTTTTGCACCTTTTGTTTGCGGTATACCATCTTTTCCGCAAGTTTATTGTTTTCTGTTTGGTATTAAATTAATAGTTAAGATCCATTTTGTTACATCTGGTGATCCGTTTATTTGGCAATCGCCAATGGCAGTCAGCAGGGTTTAAGAACATCCGTTGTTCGACCTGCTAGTCAAATGCGTTTTGTTAAAACATACTTTTTCATTTTTTTTTTTTGGTCTTTTTGGAAAATGTTGTTTAAGCTGTATTTAGACCCCTCTACCAAGAAACTTGTTTTCTTAACAAAACAAAAGTTGAACGTTGTCTGCAAGGTTGCATTTGATCATCATGTTATGTTCTTTTTATGACTATTATGCAAAATTTTACAGAGAAAACAGAACGATAGATTGAATCAAACGTAAAAGTCACAAACTAATTTAAAGATAAGATTTTCGGCTGTCCCTTGAAAACAATGGTATGTTGGATAAGGGCAGACATTTTTTTCCTAGCAAACAGGCAACCGATTGGTCAATCAGAGTTGGTGCAAGTGTGTTTTAACACTGATATCGCGTGGCACTTTCCCTTTACAAGGCATTAGATTTAACGTCCCATTCCAACTAAGAACTGAGAAAAGTCCAATGATGACAATATTTTATAGTCCTATAGTTGAAAAAAATACCACAAAAAACCTTTGTTTTATTTAGAACAAACAACACACTTTACAAGTGTGCCCTGAACATAAGGAGGACATCTCAAGGAGCCACAGTAGGCCTTGACAGGAAACAATGTATAACCACCCATATCCTCGGATCCACCTTCTAAAACATCTGGTGACTGGTCAAGACAAATGTATGCAGAAGCTCCAGCGTCAGTGTGTTGACCAGCAACTAATATCCCACTATATTCTAAGTTCCAACCTTTGTAGCACGTAGATTTCCCCGGTATAGTAATAATAGAAGAGACGTAATTTACGCGACACACGGCGCATGGAGCGTCTTTGTCATACAGATTCTGACCAAGACTAGGGTCATTGTATTCCATCCCGTACAATGTTCCGAAATGTTTTGCATGGCTATTTTGTCCATTGTCTGGATCATGTGGCATACATACTGGAACTGCAGAGCGCCCAACTTCATTTGATTTGCCTCCAGCACCAAGACCTGTTTAAATTAGAAAATATGTATGACATCAGTTACATGTACATACAGAAAGAAATCCTTACAAGACAATATGTATATATTAACAAATAAATAAATAGGGATGCTTACGAAATAATGTATATTTACTGAAGATCAAACTATAATTTCAATGAAGAATGAAATTGAAAATTATCTAAGCATGAATATACGTCTCTAATAGCGGCGTCTTATTTTTACCACTTTTTGCAAACGTTCTTGTACTTCTGTATACATAAAAAACGTGACAGACGAATATTTAATATATTTGGTTAAATCTCTTGGTTTTAAAATTGCATTCTAAACATTCGTACAAGATAAAACGACCTGCAGATCTAGATCTACTATGGAAACCACTGCACATGTTTAGTAATCGAGAAAACAATCGACAATATACGACGACGTCGGATTGGTGTTTAACGTCCAGTTGCAATTATTACATTCATTTTAGGACGTGGAACCTTGTTTCGTACCAGACCAACACACTGAGACTTAATTTAACGTGCTACATGTAGTTCACAACGTAATAGTCCACAGGAAAACATATTACCATACCCGGACACATGACTCCGAGCCGACCAGTCTTAATTTTGCTCTTACTCCTAAATGCCAACTGCTTAGCAGATAAGCAGCAAATACAATTTTTTGTTTGATTCAGAGGAGGATTTAAAACCCACTTCCACCTACGATTGAGGCAAGATTACCTGGGTGATGGACAATAAACGAAGCAATGAACATAGCCATGAGGTAGCCGTAAAAGACTGCAATGGAGTTTAATTCGATGCTTACTATACCGAATAGAATATTTGCTCTTATACATTTTTACTATATGCAAAAATGTAAATAATAATTCTCGCATGTGCTCTATTTGCTCATATAGGAGTTGGTCTAACATTTTTACAATGATCGTTACCGAGGTTAAAAACATTGAAAAATATAGTCACAGACACAGCATGAGAGAACAACTACGGTAATCTTAAAGACCAAATGAACCATGGATTATAAAGTATTTGCTATAACCTCTTCTTCCCATGTTTGATTGTACATTGAACTAAATGAAATATTATTATGTACGTTGTAATCTATTTTTTAAAAGCCTTTACTACATGAAAAGTTTTGATATGTTTTTGATCAATTTCTTTTTGCATAATAACTTAAAAAGTAAGATTTGTGCATGAATAAAATATTGGAGTTTTTAGAGAACCGTTTTGTATACATACAAACAACGGCTAAGTAACCCCACTAGAAAAAAAAGAAAACTATTTACCGGAATATACTAATTCAGTACCATTTCCCGAACACGTCTTCTTTCCCCATCGTGTGTACACTGAACCAGTCGGAGCTTAAATAAAATAAAATGTTTGTCAATACATTACTGGCTATCGAAATGTATGAAGTGGCCATGCAAAATTAAAACATATTGGTGAGTTACGGAACCACCTTTAATGTTAGGAAAATAAACAATCATTTACAGCTGTATGCACAAAATGTCTTTCATTTAAAAGAAAGTGTCTTCATTCATTGTAGCTCAGAATCAAACGATAACTACATAAGCATTAATTCTATAATTTGAGGAGAATTTGTTAAAATCTATAAATTGGTAATTGATCGATGAATATGTCACAGAAGGCGAAAAGAGTAAGAAGTTATATACATATCGTACTTTATAACTTGTACATTTCATGACTAGACAAGATCGGAAAATATAAGCAGCATGTCAGCATGTATGACATATTCTAACATGCGATATTGAAATCTTTAATTACGATCATATAAACTTCCAACAAGTTCTAACATCGGACTAGGACTTCTTTTAAACTGCGTTTTACTGTGCGTATTGCTGTGTATTGGTTTATTCCACATTGGCTAGAGGTAAAGGGGGAGGGTTTCAGATCTCACAAAACATGTTTGACCCCGCAGCATTTATCCGACTGTCCCAACCTGTCAGGAACCTCTAGCCTTTGTTAGTCTTGTGTGCATTTTTTGTTTGTTTAGTGTGGCGTCCATTTCGCTGAATGCTGAACTATGTATGATTGCCAGTGAGACAGCTCTCCAAAAGAGACAAAATGACACAGCAATTAACAACTATAGGTCACCGTACGGCCTTCAACAATGAACAAAGACCATACCGCATAGTCAGTTATAAAAGGCCCCAAAATGACAAATGTAAAACAATTCAAACGAGAAAACTAACGGCCTATTTTATGTACAAAATAATGAACGAAAAACAAATATGTTACAGCAACAAACGACAACCACTGAATTACAGTATACAATATTGTTTAGTAGCCAGCTGAAGCCTACCTCCGGGTGCGAGATTTTCTCACCAATTGGTGGCCTTGTGTTCTACTCTTGGACTTGGATCGGGTTGTCTCTTTGACACTTTTCACTGTTCCCATTCTCAATTTTATTAGTTGGATATTTACATGTACAAAATTGTATTATATATATATATAAAAAAAGATAAAATGTATATGATATAAGCTTCACATTTAAACCAAATATTCCTTTTTGCTCAGCTCACAATTACAGAAGACGAATCACGTCGATTGTACGAATGAACAGTATGGAAATTCTGCTGAAACAATTCATTTCCAAATTGACATTTCTCACTTCTAGGTTAGAACTAAGATATGCGAACAAAGACATGATAAATATTAAGTTGGAACTGAGAAATGTCAGCTTGAAGGTGAGAAATATCAAGTTGGAATTGAGAAATGTAAATACGGATGTGAGAAATGTAAATACGGAAGTGATAAATGTCAAGTTGGAAGTGAAAAATCTGACGTTGGAAGTAAGAAATGCCAAAACGGAAAAGTAGGATGCCCTTCCAGATGTTCGTTCGATTGTATTCATGATGTACCTCGTAATATATCTACACAATACAATAAAATACGCTTAAATTTCTTATACAAAAAATAATCGACACAATACCTCCTTACCGGAAGTTATTTGCTGTAACTGGCTTTGTAGACTCCCTAAAGTCGAGGACAGTTGAGTGTTTGTTTGTTTTTGTTCGGTCACGTGCTGCTGTAACTGGGCTACGGTTGCTTTCAATGTCTGAATATCCTTGTGCATTTGCAGATTGTCGGCATAGTCGGGATCAGTTAAAAGTATCCTCTTCTGCTCATGTTTTAGAGAATATACATCATGTAAACTAAGAATCTGAACCACTACGAGAACACATGTAAGTAAATCCCAAGCCATTGTGACAGTCTTAGTTCAAAATATTGGACTTACAATCTTATCATTATTCTTGTTATAGCACAATAAAGTCTTACACACCTATCTGACACACGCAATATTAATTCAAGTTATTCTATCTTTTAAAATGATCATTTTCTTTTGTCCAACTATAAAGTTATATGCAAAGTCTGTTTTCAATGTTTACCTTTTCTTTAATTTTTGTATTTTCGAAGATTATGGCAAATCAACAATGACCAAGCAAAGCAAAAACATTTTGAGATCACTATTTGGCATTCAACTAAACACAAGTGTCATATACCATGTATATATCAAGCTTTATATTAAAATTGCCCCGAATACTTTTAATTTTTAGAGGGTTTCACTTTCAACACCAACTTTAAATAACATAAAAAATCTAATTGCAAACAAAACTAGTTCTGCTTAGAATAGCCTTTTTTGTGGGCTGATTTTTTCTCTTCGGAAGAACCACAAATTTAGAAGCTTCATACATGACAAATATTTTAAATTGTACAAAGGACAAAGTCATGTCGTTGTGGTTAAATGTGCATATCTAGGCCCATTCTTTATATGTAATTCCTACAATATCTTTTGTTTCATCAGTTTAACGGTGGTTGAATTCGACTTTTTCAACATTCCTAGTATGTTATCATTTGTATGAAATGAAAGTTTCTTTAGGATGAAGATTTATCAATTATGTCAAACAATCTTAATGGACGTTTTTTTTTATTACGTCAACCAACTAATGTGTAATAAAGATTTCGAATTTTAAGACAAGTGTTAATGACTGATTGGTGTATCTTGGATATATATTGACTTTTGACTGGAATTCAAACATCTGCTAGTAAGGCAAATATATAAAGATGGCGGCCACTTGAGTTCTTTAGAGAACCTTAAAAACAACGCACATTTAGTAAAACCTGTCTTCAACACAACTTTCCAGTGTGTTAGGATTATGACATTTATTTACCTCTCAATTAAAATTTGAACGTTCAATCAATGGCCCAAGTTCATTTTCCTTTTGTTGTTCGATAATGGCATAACCTGTAAACCTCTTAATTCTGTAACGGCAAATTGTGTTGATGATATTGTATCATGGAGATTTCTAAAAGCACTGAACTATAAGCCTATTTGTAAACCAGCATGGCCGCCTTTAAAATCAAAATAGAATATGTTTAACAGGAAATTATAATAATCTCAATACCATATGAATAAAAGAAGACGTGGGTATAAGGCAATAAACAAACAATCTAAAGAAACAAATTACGTAAATACACCAAGTTTTCAAAAATAACAAAATAAAAATTAAGATATGAAATAAAACAACCACTGACAAGTTACCTCACTTGGGACAGGTAAATCGATAAACGCACGATACCATTTAAAGCATCGTCCTGAACATGCATGAAATATTTGCCACTTGACGTTAAGTAACCAGCAATCAATCAATCAACCATTTGAAGCGAGTACGGCACTTATTTCTGAAAATAACTTTCGTTATGTACACCCGAGATCAAAACACCGTACGCACACCTTTTACCAAAAAAACATGACTTCAGATTTCCATTTTCCGACAAGAACTTCCTTTGATTGCCCAAATGAGATGAAACAATAAAGTCGCTGTACATTTGCACAAAAATTAAGATTACTGAAAATACGGTATCATGGTTTGGTTCAGTAGTGTCATGGTTTAGTTCATGTTCGACATGGTTCAGTAATGTGATTCCTGTCGTGTTTGATGGAAGAGTAAAAGTCAAAATAAACAGATATTATACAACGGGAACTATTGAAATACGGTTTTAAACAAAATATTTTCGCCGATACTTTTTTCTCTCGCGTTTAATCCATTCTATCCTATTTCGAAGCAATATATTGTCGCCATTTTCAAATGTTGTTATTTTGTTCTCATACGAGTTTATCTAAGCTTCTCATATTTACGTTGATCTTCTACTCGCGAAAATACATAGCTCGAGAAAATATGTCGTCTACGGTAAATTCAAGCTATCATCATTATAGTTATCATTACAGAACACGCATGCATAAAGAAATGACGAGAAACATATATTAACGCATTTTTTAAAGGCAATTTCCTTAAAAGTAGTTTTATTTGGAATACAAAAAGAACCTAAGAAAGCACATAGAAATATATAATTAGTATTAGTAGATGCGGTATGATTGCCAATGTGACAACTATCCACCCGAGACCAAATGACGTAGATGTTAGCTACTATATGTCACCGTACGGCATTCAACAATAAACAAAACCCATACCTCTTAGAAAGCAACAAAAGACTCCGACAAATGAAATGTAAAGCAATTCAAATGAGAAAACCAACGGCCTGATTTATTTTCAAAACAATAAGCGAAAATCAAATACAGTAAAAAACTACAGCATTACAGACTCTGGCTTGGGAACGGCACATACAGAATATGGCGGGGTTTAACATGTTTGTATACTCCCAACCCTCTCCTCGCCTTAACCTGGGCAGTGTTGTAACAGCACAATAACAAAAAAAATCTATAAAAATCAGTTGAAAATGACTCATCAGATCGATAAAGCAAAATAATCAAGTAAAATAAACACAAAAGACACAAAGAACTGATATGTGAGTGCTCACATTTACTGAAAGCTAGTTCCAAGAAAAACAAGAGTGCACACACTGAAATGTCTCGCCTTCTTTACTAATCATTGATATATATGTTGATAGTCCTAAATATAAAGCTTACAACTATCACATAAACTTAACATTAACCAAGAAAACTAAACATTGACCAATGAACCATGAAAATTAGGTCAAGGTCATATAAAACCTGCGTGACTGACATATAGATCATAAAATATTTCCATACACCAAATATAGTTGACCTATGGCATATAGTATTAGAAAAAAAGACCAAAACTCAAAAACTTAACTTTGACCACTGAACCATGAAAACGAGGTCAAGGTCAGATGACACCTGCCAGCTAGACATGTACACCTTACAATCATTCCATACACCAAATATAGTAGACCTATTGCATACAGTATAGGAAAAACAGACCAAAACACAAAAACTTAACTATAACCACTGAACCATGAAAATGAGGTCAAGGTCAGATGACACCTGCCAGTTGGACATGTACACCTTACAGTCCTTCCATACACCGAATATACTAGACCTATTGCTTATAGTATCTAAGATATGGACTTGACCACCAAAACTTAACCTTGTTCACTGATCCATGAAATGAGGTCGAGGTCAAGTGAAAACTGTCTGACGGGCCTGAAGACCTTGCAAGGTACGCACATACCAAATATAGTTATCCTACTACTTATAATAAGAGAGAATTTAACATTACAAAAAATGTTAACTTTTTTTCAAGTAGTCACTGGACCATGAAAATGAGGTCAAGGACATTGGACATGTGACTGATGGAAAGCATCCAGGTCTTCCACCTTCTAAAATATAAAGCTTTTAAGAAGTTAGCTAACGCCGCCGCCGCCGGATCACTATCCCTATGTCGAGCTTTCTGCGACAAAAGTCGCAGGCTCGACAAAAATCATGAATCCAAGACAAAACGTTACTTTTTTTATTTCAATTCAGAATGGAATTCTGCTGCCAATATTCATCTTCATACATCATATTCTCTACTATTAATAACGATGATGGCTTGTCTTGTCGGGTCATATAGTTTAAATTTACTTGTACCAAACTAACTAACACGTGTATCTTGAAATTTAATTTTTTTTTCGATCACATTCTCATACTAAATACTAGATCGACAGCGCTGTTCTGATATTACCGAAACTCTATTGCATAAAAGAAAAAAGCTTTAACGGGTTAAGTGATACCACACAATACATTTATACAATATGACAAAAACATAATCATTTTAATTTAAACATTCGTAATAATAATTGATAAAAATGGACATTATATCGACCTTATTCTAATTTGAAATTGTGATCTGTCATATATTTAAATTTGAAACTTTGTAAGCAGTTTTCATAATAATTTCATTTATGGTCTATTTAAAAAAATAAGTTTTAACTGTTGTTCATGTTAACATTTTTTCCCGTGGAGGGTTGAAGACTGTATGGTGCCCTCTCGATATTGTTTGGTTAGTTTTGTGGTTGGGTTACTGTATCATGGGCGTACAACCCCTACATCTGTTTTTATTCATCATAGACATAATCTTGTTCGAAATAAAAATAACAGATGTATAGTTTTCTAGAAGAAAATGTAAAACAAAAATTATTTTTTGACTAGCTGCTACATTTTGCAACTTTAGGTAGAGGTTTTTACCCATTTGACACCGCTAACGATATCCCCGACAAAAAAGATGTGATATAATTTCCAGTGATACAACTCTCCACAAGAGACCAAATGGCACAGAAATAAACAACTATAGGTCCCCGTGCTGACTTCAACAATGAGCAAAACCCATACCACATAGTCAGCTATAAAAGACCCCGAAATGACAAATGTAAAACAATTAAAACGAGAAAACTAACGGCCTAATTTATGTACAAAATAATGAACGAAAAACAAACATGATACACAGAAACAAACGACAACCACTGAATAACAGGCTACTGGTATGGGACAGGCACATACAGATTGTGGCATGGTTAAACATGTTAGCGGGTGCCCAACCCTTCCCCTAACCTGGGACAGTGGTGTAACAGTACAACAAAAGAACAAACTATAAAAATCAGTTGAAAAAGGCTTAACTCATCAGATGGATACAAACAGAAAACAGAAATACATATAACAAAACCACAGAGTTGACGTCGCAGGGTACAAAATGTACGTATACATATCCACACAACAAAAAAGGCACCAAGTATAGATCTGAGAGTACTAGCAGCTACTTCAAAGCCAATAACAAATAATAAACAACCATGCATCTAAGACGAAAAAAAAAAGAGTTCATTATGGACACACGGAGAACAGATTCTGGGTGAAACAAAAGTAACTTATTTGATCGAATGCCAGTTAAAAAGAGTAGTGGCTATATTAATTCTATCTGAGGAAACAAACGAAAAGTAAAAATGTATAATTTACGGTTTGCCTATTACGCCCACCAAGTTTGGTAAAAAGGGCTTTTCTTCTTCTTAGTCAATTGGTAAATTGTGTAACTTCAATTTTTCACAAGCGCCTTCAAACAAACTATCAATACTAAGGTGGAACAAATATGTATTTATTTGGATCTAAACCATGACAAATTTCTAGACACTTAAATGAACCATGTCAATCGCTTAACCAAACCATATCAATTTCTATATTTTGGTTATCCTGCGTTAATTTCTTAAAAACAACAATTTCAATGTAGATCGTTTGACTTACAATATAGATTCAAACATCTTATTTGCTCTTTATTTGTTCATTTGAAAAGAACTGAGGTAATCGTTCTGGGAAGTGACCTAACCAAACCATGACCAACTTAACAAAACTTTGATAATATCACTATACTAAACGCTCCTCGATATGACGACGTTACTACCCATGAGAAAGCATACATCAGTTAATTTTCCCCCCAAATTGCACCGATTGTAAGTTTCAGCCTTGATTTTACTTCTTTTAATAGCCCTTACTTGACCGAGTACCAGGATGTCCTACCACAGAGTAGGTAATCTGTCGAAATATTTCGGAGTCAAAAGTCGGTAATACGAAAAAATTCTTTTATATTAGTAAGCACTAGCATATGGCAACAATACATACAATGTATTCACTTGATGCCTATAAAAATGTTTTAATATTTATGTTATGCCTTTCGAAACTGTACAAGTCCGTTATGTTCGTCACCTAAAATTTTTAAACCGTGCGATTTAATGAATTCCGCTCTATTCTGCACTCCCCATCCTACGCCATTAGCAGCTGCTGGTTCACGTGACATGCTACAAGGGAGACACAGAAATGTACTAAACACATACAGCATTGCAGCACTTTGGTTGCCTTGATTCATTTTATGATCCGAATGTACGCATGGATCTATTACAGATACAATTCCACCATCCTTCAGAACCCGTTTGATTTCTGAAATGCTTAAACTTGGATTTGGCAGGTCATGCAGTACATCAACCATAGTTATCCAATCGAATTTCTTCGTCCACGATTCGTCCAAGTCGTCACTTTCAAGAAAAACGAATTCGACATTCGGTAAATTTTCTTTTGCCTTATTCTCCTTCGCTTTTTCAATGGAATTTCGATCGATATCTACACCGTATACTTTGGCATTTGGTAAATGTTCAGCTAATTTTATAGTTAAACTGCCTGGTCCACATCCAAAATCCATAACATTTCTTATTGTATCTGTGTGGAAAAAAAACAGCAATAAGTTACCAATACTTCGGAACTAAAATACTCACTTTTCAGTTTATAACTTTTGAAATTGTACTATAACATGTATAACTCAGTTTGCAACCCCTAAACAAAATTAGACCCTAAACTGTGGTTTGTTGTGTTTCTGACTACTGTGTGTTTGAAGTATATGACTCCTTAAAAACGGTTTGTCTTGACCGTATATATCTGTTGATTGTTATATGAGTCATGAGCACTGATACATGTAGCTGCATTTTAGTTTTGTTTTCAAACAGTTACATTTATCTTATGAAATGTAATAAATTCATGAATATTACTATGCACACATGTGTTGTATTTAAATGTGAACCTTAGTTTTGACATTTATCATGTGACCGTTCAAGAGCCAGATTAGGCGGGAAGAATTGTAAAGGTTAATTAAGGTCCACATATGTGTTATTCCACGATTGCATTCGGACTGTCTATTCTGGCATTTTTAATCTACACATTTGCTCATTATCAACTAGAGTCAAATTCATAAAACTGCTTTTAAAAAGTAAGCAAGTTTAGGATTATAACAATTATGACATTATTTGTTGTACACCTTATACTTAGGTTATAATAGACAAGTTTTTATTAATATTACTATTTGGTATTCAGGGTATATCTAAATGCAGGTAAACGATATGTACACATGAATTTTCAATAAGTTTGATATATGGATTTGTTGTAAGGAGTGTATATCTCTCTTAGGGAGATATACCAAACAAAAAAACTTGAAACAAAACACACATTAACTTATCATATCATATATTTTAAAGACATTTTTAAAAATAAATTCATTTTTTTTATTAATAGCTTAATCTTGAAAAACGTTAAAACAAAAAGAAGATGTGGTATGAACACCAATGATACAACTATCCACCAAAGTCCAAAGGATGAGGATATTAAAATATATGGGTTACCGTACAGCCTTCATCAATGAGTAAAACTCATACCGTAAGCATAAATAATCCCCAACAGAACAAACTGTGAAACGATTCAGAGAGAAAATAACAGCAGAGTTTAAGCTAAATACAATAACATGAATGAAAAGTGGCGGAAGGACATTTTTCGGAACGTTAGCGCGAGAAATTTAATTCGCGAGAATTCGGGAACAAATACTTTTAAAATCGTCGGGAATTCGGGTTCAGAACCCTCCAATACACCTAATAAATGAAAAACAAATATGGCAGATAGCAACTGATAACAACCATGAAATTACTCGGTCCAGACTTAGGACAGAAACATAAGGAATACAACTATTATAGAATGTTTTCAATTTTAAGAAATAAAGATTTCGAATATGCATTGATAATTTAAAACAAAATGCTCTCTTAAATTCCAATTTCTTGGTTTTAAAAGATTTTTTGAAATATATGCATTGTGTATGTTTACTTTTTACCTCGTATCACTAAAATTTTCAGCAAGTGGGTGTGAAACAAAGAAACCACGACTTTGGCCTTATTGTTTAATACCTGTTTCTATGTGTCCAACCGGAAATAAGTTTTCATTAATCCATTTACTATCACATGATTTCTTGTCATGGTCCAACCACATCAAGGTATCCAACTGGTTACTGTAATCATATCCTGTAATAAATTCATCAATTGTGTAATCGTGTATTAAACAAAACGCCACATTATGTATAGCTAAGGATACTCTATCCGTAAGCTAGCAACCAATCAGGATCGGTGGGCTCACGATCGTAAAGTAAGCGACCAATAAGGAGCAGTAAGAGACCAATAAAGATCAGTAAGCTAACAATCAAGACGTTAGCGACCAAAAAGGATCTGTAAGCTAGTGATTTTTATGATCAGTAACTACAAATCAGTAAGATAGCGACCAAAAAGGATCAGTAAGCTCCAAATCAGTTGTAAGCGACCAATAAGGTTCCATAACCTTACGATCAGTTGTTAAAGACAAACTAGGATCACTAAGCTAGTGACTTTCTAGTATCAATAAGCTAGCAAACAGTAAGATAGCGAGCATTACGGATCAGTAAGCTAGCAACCAGTTAGGTTAAGTAAGCTAACGATCTGGAAGCTAGACCCCATTCACACTATCATTTTTTTTATCGATCTAATTTGAATCGATCTAAATAAAACCAGTTAGCGTTCACATTATCTTTAACCATAACGATCTCTATCGGTCTAATCTGAACCACTGCGTTCACACTACAATTAAAAATGCAATCGATCTGACCTAATTACCCGTAAAACTGTTAACATTGTGTATACATAGAAATAATTGATCAAATTTATGTGTTGGTACACTGCAACACACACTCTTAAAAAAATGGATGAAGTTATTGTTTCTCTTGAATCACAAGTTCAAATTTTGATACTGGTGTTCTTGTAGTTTTCATTTATTTTGAAACAAAAAAACTGTAGCAAGGAAGAAATGCTGCGGTTCTGAAAAAAAAACCAACAAAAAAAAAACAGAAGAAAAGAAGACACACAAATTTATGGTACGGCGAAGACAACTTTTTTTTCCGTTTGTTTTTACTTGCATGTACACAAAGGTCTGTTTTTAAACAGAGAAATATTGGTTAAACAACTAACCACCGAAATATACAGGGGTTATGTTATTACACTTGTAGTTTTGTCGCTATACATGCGCAAATATTATTTTCGATTCAATCGTACTAGTTTAAACCGATCTTTGCGTTCACATTTAAAGTTAAATCAGTTCACTTTAGATCGATTCAAACTAAACTACCTCTTTTGGTGTTTTAGTTTAGACCGATTGAAGATCGATTCAAAGCGCTCACATTAGCCCTTAAACCGATCTAAAGTGAACCGATCTCGTTTGAATCGATATAAATGTCCTAGTGTGAACGGGGTCTTAGCGAGTGTTCAGGATCAGTAGGAATACGACCGTAAAGTAAACGATCTTCAAGTATCAGTAAGCTAATTAACTACAAGTACGTTTCATTAAGTAACCAATAAGGACCAGTAAGAGGAAAGGTGACCGATAAGGCGGTACGTTTTATAACAATAAATATACACAATATTTAAACGCTCTGTGAACAATGCGTGTGGTGTGTAAAAGACGGACAAAAGATACCAGAGGGACAGTCAAACTCATAGATTGAAAATAAACTGACAACGCCATGGCTAAAAATAAAAAGACAAACAGACAAATAATAGTACAGAAGACACAACATAGAAAACTAAAGACTAAGCAACATGTGTAAGATGCTACATGTATACGTACAAATAAAAAAATTTCCATTATGGTTTCTTCTTTTTATTTAATTAATGAAGTTCATTTGAATTTAAAAATAGTAGATATTAGTTAAGATCAAGAACGTATAAAAATTACATAGAATTCTAATAAAAAAAAACATGTTTGGTATACGTCAATGAGATAGGAGTCTAACAAGATCAACTTTTTAAGTAAAAAGTGAGAGATATAGTTTACCTTTCGGTCCGTCCTCTTTGAAACATTCCAATAATGAGGAGGTATTCGCAGCTAAATTAGGTAAAACACTGGCGAGGCTACTCAATGCAGTATGAGGTTTGCATGCCTCCGGTATAAAGTATTTATCATCGGGTGTTATACTAACAAAACCAGCGGCGGACATACATCCTAACCATTCTCTGACATATCTATGGGAAAAAAGAAAACAATTCCGTTTCAACTACAATCTAGTTTTTCTAGTGCCTCTAGCGGCTGACAGGCATTCTTACCATTCTCTGACATATCTATGGGAAAAAAGAAAACAATTCCGTTTCAACTACAATCTAGTTTTTCTAGTGCCTCTAGCGGCTGACAGGCATTCTTACTATTCTCTGACATATCTAAGGGGAAAATTAGAAAGCAGTTCCGTTTCAACTACAATCAAGTTTTTTCTAGTGCCTCTAGCGGCTGACAGGCATTCTTACCATTCTCTGACATATCTAAGGGGAAAATTAGAAAGCAGTTCCGTTTCAACTACAATCTAGTTTTTCTAGTGCCTCTAGTGGCTGAAAGGCATTCTTACCATTCTCTGACATATTCATGGGAAAAAAGAAAAAAAAAGTTTTTTATTCTATAGTGCCTCTACTCCACAAATGTCACCCACTGTGTAAATGTATCTTAATAAATTTATGCAAAATATAACGCCATTGTCGTGTTACAGAGGGGCCTTATGGTATAAGTAGTTCACCTATTGTATCACTAACCTGTCCACACTGATGCTATGAGTTTGAACCCCGCACGTGTTGGGTGCGTTTGACTCAAATTTTAATTGACTACGATTGCCATTTCAAAGGTCGGTAGTTTTTTCCCGGTACTCCGTCTTCCTCCACTAATAACACTGTATGCCACAAAACAGCCAATAGTGTTGAAAGTGGCATTAAGCAAATAATCAATCAATAAACCAAACGTGTTACACATTTTTTTCCTATGACGTAGTGTAGATGCATAACGTATATAACAACTCTTGATATTGCCCTTAAGATTCATGAAATAGTTGCCACTAAAAGTTTAGCAAACACTTATCAATAACAGAATATTCGTTGGTACTGGTTTCATTATTTTCCCGTTTGTAAATCATATATAGCGGGACTGATTGGTTTTAACTACCAATTCTAGACAGCCTTATATTTTGAAATATCAGTAAATATACACTTTATGCCAGAATTGAAAAAAAGCCACTAGGTTATTAAATTAGGTACATATTCAAATACATAACTCGGAGTACAGCAAATATTTTTTTTCGATAATGCTTCTTATAAAACAAAAGCGTGAAAGGAATTTCTTGTCTTGACTTTTACATTTGTAGTCGAGTTGGAGTCTTATGGACGTATACCCAATATACCATTATAATTTTGAATCATATAAGTATTCGTGTGTTTCATACAAAATATTGAAGAATAAATCCCTCTAAATCTGTAATAATTACATATGTAGTGTATGTGTAATCACCTTCAAAATGTATATATATGTGTGAATGAAATAATATTTAAAAAATTTCGTGCATCCGAAGCGCTTTTCTATATTATTCTTCATTTAAAACGCTAAAATCTAAACATTTTAAACCCAGGGATTAATGAATACGTAGAAAAGTAAGCAGCTATATGATCAAACGGTACATACACAAGAATAGCCATATACACTTAAAGTCAATTTGCCCGAGATGAAAAGGGTCTGTTTTTAAATCTGAGCACCGACATCCCACATTCCACTTTACCACCTCTGGTAAATTTGGAAGTGTTATAAACAACCTAGCTGTATTTATACCTTTCTTTCAATTTGCATGACACAGCGAGCTCTGTTGATGTAACTGGGGAAGTAAATTTATTCAGCGAATCAAATAGTCCTAGTTTATGACCTATTGCTATTTCTAAAGCAATAAAACCATTCGTCACCGTTGAAGAAAATTTTTCTGCATATTCCTCAGGTTCCATTATGAGACTTCTAAATAAAGAGATACGATATTAAGTAACAACAACGGAATCTGAAGCAATATAAAGTAATAGAAGAAATCCTGAACTTTTATTTTTGCGGACTCCATCATGATTTTTAGAACATCATGGAATATGTTTGTCTCGATTGTGACATTACCGAACGAGACTTATATCCTTTGATTTTGTACTTACATGAGAAACACGACGACACGGAAGGGGGGGTGGGGGGGGGGGGGGTCTCAACATGGGATTTTGGGTACAGTTGTGCAGCTGGGATTTAAAAAACACCCCCCATTCATATATTGAATAATTGTGAAATCCCTACCTATACATATATTTCACAGCGAAATCATAACCCATTCAGTGAAGATAGTTGCACAACAAAATGAAAAATTATGACCCATTGATATATCACAATTGGTCAATTACTACCTATTGATATATTTCCTCGGTAAAATTGCACCCCATTGATATATTTGACGTATCAAAAAAGGGACCCATTCCAGCGGCTCATATGTATATACCTTCATATAGGAAGAGACCCCCCACCCCCCGTGCACGACAAGTACCAAGTATGGAGTAGGGTCAACTTTCCCTCCCGGAACACATTAGATCATTCCTGTTTGTATTTTTTTTCTTTGTTGTGTCAGTGTTGCTCAGACTTAGTTCTCAATGTATATATAACATGTATAGTATTTTGTACACTGATGTTTGGACTTTCGTTTAGTGCAATGGTTTTGTTTGTCTCTCTTCGACATGTGAGTTTTTATTATTCCTTTGGACTTCTCTGTCTCCTTTTTTATCCTATTGAGTTATATATACATGCATCTTTATAGTTTTATGTCCATGTCGTTACTTAGACACACACATATTGTCAGGTCACTTCCAAATAGAGTTTTTTTGGGGGATTTAATGACGTATGGTTGAACATATTTTAATTGTCGCATATTTTTTATATTTAATTTGTTAATCTTATGTTTATGGGGTTATTTTATTTTTTTCGAGACATTATAAAAGAGGGACGAAAGATACCAGAGGGACAGTCAAACTCATAGATCGAACACAAACTGACAACGCCATGGCCAAAAATAAAAAGACAAACAGACAAATAATAGTACAGATGACACAACATAGAAAACTAAAGACTAAGCAACACGAACCCCACCAAAAACTGGGGGTGATCTCAGGCATGTCAG